ACAGAAAGAAAGATGAAACTTGTAATAAACAGAGTAACCTACTCTTATTGAGATGTTACACAGCTGTAGAGGGAGACTGACTCTGAGGAGAGAGAAAAAAGGAACAGTCACATTTTATACTCTGCGTAAAAGTGTGCATGTGCACCAACATGCGTGCGTATGCGTGCACAAGCATCAATCCTCCCTCTGTTGCTGAATATGCGCTGTCTGGTGTGTTTGCCCTATCTGTTTGGGCTGCGTATGTCCGTCTGTCTGTCAATCTGTTCGCAGTGCAGTCTGTTTGCCAATCTGTCATATTCTGTTTGCTAGATAAGGAGATTGTGAGAGTGTGTGTGTGTGTGTGTGTGTGTGTGTGTGTGTGTATGTGTGTGTGTTTGTATATTCTGTGCACAGATCACATTCATTTAAACTCTACCTTAGCGATGGCAGGTAGGTTTTGCTGTTTTCTTACAGCTAAGAAGATGCATGCACTATGCCTTCTCTTTAGTGACATACAGAAATGTTACAGCACTTTGTATATGTATCACCAGACATGTGGGCTTTCTTGAACCAATTAAGTATCAGAAACTTTAACAGAAACTGAAAGTCTCTTTTTATAAGGATAATAATAATAACCTTTATTGGCCAAGTATGTTACACACAAGGAATTTGTTTCCGGTACAGAACCAAGGCAGCCATCTGCGGCGCCAACTCAACCAATTGCTCTAACCATCAGCGGCAACCTGGGGGTTCAGTGGACACTTCGGCATGTGGACTGCAGGCACCGAGATTCAAACCTCCAACCCTCCGTTTGGGAGACGACTGCTCTACCCACTGAACCGAAGTTGCCCCTCTTTTTTTTGTACATTTTTAACTTAAAGAACAGTCAAGATTAGTTTTTCATTTTTGCATAATACATTAATAAAGCAGTTTTCCTATATCTAGACAATGGGCTTTTGAATGCAACTCACCAAAAAAAATAAAATAAACTAAACTAAGAATCTTGAATGCTTGAATGTGTTTCAAAAGAAGTGTATACCTACTTTCTACAGTCTGCTTTTTGGGCTTGTGTTTACAGTGTTGTTGAAGCTCAGCTTTGTTTCTCCCACTTCCTTTCTGTCTCATTAGTTCACTTTTTCTCACATTGCTAGACTAGTTAGGAAGGCACACACCTTTGTATAAACATCATTAACATCATCTGTACTGTAAAATAGAGACTAATGACAATGAATGACTGCACGGATGCTCTCCATTAACATAGAAATGTAGGTAAAGTTTCCATGTTCCTAAACATACTTCTGAAACACCTCTACCCTTGGAAAAGAGCCTGTGCTTCCAGTAGGAAAAAAAAAATAACCTCTCCTCATTTCACACTCTTCACACTTCAAATCTATATTTATCCACAGAGAAGTGTTGAGTAATTTCTGCAAATAAAAACTGATTTCATTCACAATCCCTGGATTGTGTGATATGGGAATACATTTTAAACCCACCTGTGAGTAACCTGTTAATCCAGAGCTTCTCCTGGGGTCCCTCCCAGACGCAGGGGATCCCCCCTCCTTCTGACTGCCAACAGACGAAGAGTCAGAGCAACTGCTGTGAACTGTGAGAGAGAGAGAGAGAGAGAGAGAGAGAAACGGAGGGGGGTGTTGAGGGTTGTAGGTTAGCATATAACATCAAAATATGGCTGCATTGACATATTTAAAATATACATTTTTCTGTCAATGCATGGCAGATAGTGGAACAAGTTCAAATACTAATGCAGTCCTGCACTCGTTCATTCATGATTGCATTGATTGTCATTTACATCAGTTATGGTGTGTATGCATTTATATAATGTAAAAATCATTGTATCATAATATTTTTCTTAATTAAAAATAGAAGGAGACTGAGTGCGGGAGAGGCAAAGAGTGAGGAGTCAGAGTGAGAAGGCATTTTTCTCACCTTGTTAAATGAATTTCTAACACTGTTCTGTTCCCGAGGACAATTCATGCATTGAAATCCTGAGCTGCTTGTGCTCTATGAGACACCTGGTGAGCAGTATGTGCATTACATCGAGCTATGAATGGGAAACAAGTGGCCTTTAGAGACTGGATGGTGGGTCTGGAATCTGAGGAACTGTATTTTTGATTGGGTGTTTTTAGTTTAATTATTTTTTAACCCTGAGGACAGACTTCTTTTCTCAAAAGGAAACTCCGATCTTGTTATATGATTATATAGTGTTGAGCTGTGATGTGTATTCCAGGTTGTAACTTTTTTCAACCTGCCTCTCTGATTCTATCTCAGTAATTTCCTGCATTTATAACTGTACTCTGTGTATTCAGCAGGGAGCCACTGTGAACCTGTTGCTGATTTTCTGTGTAGGTGGAGAGAACTCTGATTTTGTTGATAGCATTAGACAAAAGCAAGATAATAACTGAATAGTTATTTTTCAGTATCTCTTACATTTTTCTTTTTTGGTGTTTTTCTGGTTGACAGATTTCTCTCAAATTATGACATGACCTGAACATCTAGGCTGCTGATATTTACAGTGAAGTTTTAGATTACTTGAGATTTCTAGCCAGTTTTTTACAGGAGTAGGGCTGGGCAATATGATTAAAGACCTTACTATAATATTATTAAAGCAGCACTTGTGATTTTTTTTTATATTAACAGCTGATTAACATGCGTAATGTGAAATATTAGCTTGTAGCAACACTCTCTGAAAATTAACACCCAACTCTGAAGTTCACTGAAACTCTACGAAGTATTTTAGTGGCATTGAGCTCATTGTTTTCTTTTTACGACCCACAACTTTATTGTTCTCTCATTATTCTCTTCAGTTTTGTTTTCAGAAAAAAAGCTCTAAATGCAACTGTATGCATCAAAAGCAATATAGGCAAAGTTTGCAACTAGCTATTGACCACAGTGAAACATTTAGGCTAGGTAAAAGAGCCAGATCATTTTCTTAAGAATTTATGGACAAAAGCAGAGATAAATTTAAAGTTGAATTTGAACTAACATGACAGCCCTAGCTTGCTCCACTTCCCCCAAGTGGCCAATAAAAAAAAAAAATGAACACAGCATTAAGGATATTACAGCATCCGTGATTCTATATGGTATCTGCAGACAACATTATATATAAAGTAAACCAGTGTTTAAAGCAATGAAACCTTTCAAATATGTCAAACAAAAACTTGAGTAACTGTTTGTGTTACTTTAGTTACAGCTTACTTGTATCATTCATTTGGATATCAGACATTTCTAGAACCGTAACATATACTGTAGTTATCATCTTGATTTGGCTGAAAGTCATTAGAGGAATAATACATTTTCAAGAAATGCAAGATACAAGTGCAACAGCTGTTTGTACAGTGCACCAGTATCCTAAGATACATTTTTCCTTATGCTTCGTTTACATCCAGACAAAGCCACAGTTTAAAGAAGACACATTGGCTGGGATGTGATTTGATCATAGCAGAAGTAAAATGTGTTTCCATACTGCACTACATATTCTTTGCAGGCATGTCACAGCTCTTCAAAAATTCTCTGTGTGAGGCAAATATCAAAAATTCATAGAATAGCCCAGGGGCGCAAGATTGAAAAAGGAAAAAAAAAACATGTACCACGTTATTACCTTGTCACATGGAGAGATACACCCAGGACTCGTTTTGTTTCCTGCCTGTAAATCTCACGGCCACATTACTTTGAGCTCAGAAAGCAAATTTGAACAATCCAGTAATCCAATCTGGTCACATAAAACCGACTGACATTCCTGAAACCGCACTTTGGTTTAGACCTTGTGTATCTGTCAGGTGAGAAGTAAGGTTTCAAATTAAAACTCTACACTGAACTCTTACTGATTAAAACATTAAACTGTTCTTTTTGCTTTGTTTTCAGTTTTACTAATCTACCTGTAGACACTGGTGCAGTTTTAGGTCAGATTGGAGTTAAATGTAAAAAATCAGTTCCCACCAAAAACATTTCAATTTCAAATCTTTGATGAAAATGTTTTTCTTCCTTTGTAGTTGACCAGACAGTAGTAGTGTTGCAGGTGTATTCTTTCTTCAGCTTACCTCTGTCATTGAGACTGTAGATGGAGTCCAGCTCTGAGCCTTGAGTTCCCGTCGCATCCAGCAGCAGCTTACTGGAAACTCCCATACAAAGCGATTCCTTCAGACATAACTCTGGGAGAGGAGAGAGGAGGGAGAAGTAATCTTTTAAAGGTAAAATTTCCATAATGCTCTCTATACATTTATCATTTTTATTTTGACTTTTTAAGGGAACAAGCCAGGTACAGTAGAGATTAGGGAGAGAACTTGGTCTAGTTGGGAAAATACTTTTTGTTTATTGTCTAGTGAGAACAGTACCATTGGACACCAAGTATCTGTGCCAAAAATGTGTCAGTTCCTTTTTTATCCCAGCTGCATTACATTGTCCCTAGTGTGATACTGTAATCTAAGCCAACTACGGGAAGCAGTGCAGCGATGCAATGTTTTACAGAAACAAGGAGATTGATATGACATGTGATAGCCAGCAGTTCCCTGTGCTTGGAAAGCTGGGCGTAAACAAATGAACAAAAATCAAACGGCAGACTGGAATGGTGATGATATTTTTTGTGCCCTCTATTCATAGGAAAGAAAACTAGTGTGGGTGTGCTGTACCTGGTTTACAACTAGCATATGCTGGGATTGTGTCCAAACAATGAATAGGTATTTCAGTAATAATATAATATAAACAGGTGTAAAACTGTGAAATACCCCTCATCTTGTGGATTTTAGAGAGACAGTCTAAAGTTGAGGCCTCCGGGGTTAAAGGTCATACTGTACCTGTGTTGTTGATGGCATGCGTCCACAGCAAATGGGCAATGTCATGAGTCCAGGCCTCCCTGCCTTCCCTGTCCTGTGCTTGCAGCGTGATGCAGTCTCTGGTCCGAGGAGCCTGGCGGACCCAAATCTCAAACTTAAGTCCATCCTCACCGACACTCTGAGTCAGACCCATCTCTCCTGTCTGTAGGGAGAAGAGGATGGAGATGTTCATGTCAACAAAGTAATTTTTACATTTTAGTCAAGCGGACTGCTGTGTCATTGGGATTCCCATTTAATCAGCCAAGAAAAGTTACCACTTCAGACTTGATTTGCCTATGTTTGCTTTCAGTTGACTCAGTGCAGAGTGTGAACTTTTCGAACACAGCGCTTGGCAGAGAGGGCGGTAATGAAAACTGACAGTGTGTGTGTGTGAAACGGAAAGAGCAGCGACTACCTTGATGCTGTGTTTGTAGCTGTAGGTGGTGCGTCCCGGGCCAGGGTTCTTTGGTTTGGTGAAGATGACAACATTCTGGTAGAGGAAGACATTCCTCATGCCAACCCGCTTCCTCCGATTTCCCCCACACAACGTCAGCTCGCCCTGCCGCACCAGCTCGCCACGCTCTGCCACCGGGATCTGAAATCACGCACATACACAAAATTATGATGCACTTATCTAGGCCTCAGCCTGAGGCCTTCACATCTGCAAAAGATTAAGTCTTAAATTAATAACATCAAGGCCACTTAGCCTTGAACTGAGTTAAAACACTTTTCTTTGGCAGTGGGTTGAAGTTATTTCACTTGTTTCCTGTTTCATTTGGTTAATCAATTGTCTTGAAAAATGTAATGACATTTTGAACCACTGTAATGGAGAATTTATAAAACAAACTTCTGAACAACAAGTAGAAGTGATGTAATATCAACCAGTGATATAATACCAGACCTTTAGCTGAAAAGAAGAAAACATTTCAAAGGACCAATAAGTACAATTTTGCAGCTTTGTACATCTGTTATACATTTGAGGGCTTTCACAGGTTTCTGGACCATTTTATCACCTGATACAAGCTGCCTTTTTTGTTTTATTTTTGTTCCTTAGTTGGGGGGGATGTTTTTTTTTCTGTTTGTGTATGTTTTGCAGAAAAATCTCAAGCCCTCCTTTATTCACCTACTTAATTTTTTAGTTTGGAGCTTGGAGACACTTCAACTACAAAGACTGAAAAGCTTTATTCTCAGTTCAATAAAGAAAAGGACAAAGCAGTATTATCACGCAGTGCCTTGCATGGTGACATATTCCCTCTTCCCAGAGATGCTTCTTTCTGTTGGATCTTTGCTCTAATTGGCCAACTGACTCATGCCTTTTGTCAAAAACTGACTTTATTGTTCACGTCAATTACAGGGTTGAGACTTTGTGAAGCTGTTGTGACTCCTACTGTACCAGAGGCAGACAGAGTCAAACATTATGTAATGCCCCTTAAGGACTCATACTAGATTTACAAATACACAAAAAAACAGCAAACAGGGCAACATAAACAATCACTGCCAACCACTCTGACAATAAAACTAAAAGGACTGATAATTTTCCATTGACGACCAAAACTTTATTTTTGAACCTCTAGAGATGTGTGGGTCATCATATAACGGATTTTTCACACAAATTATGAACACACACACATACACACCTGCACTTACTGGCATATTACTTGGAGAGCTGTTGCAGCGATTTGAAGTAGCTCAATGGGAGTGTTTGTGCTGCTGTAATCTCTCCCCTTGCTCGAAAGAGGGAGAAGAGAATAGTTCTGTGTGTGTGTGTGTGTGTGGGGGAGTCAAATGTTTGTCACAGCTAGCTCTGAATGATACTGCTGTGGCACAGGAGCACAATATAGGGCAATTGCCTATGGGGTTGTCTAACTTGATAAAGGTTAAAGCTGTTTTTTAAATCCATGTTACCTGTAAGAGAGGCACAAATTGTTTCTTCCTAGTTATCTCAGAAAATGCAGTCTTTCCTCCTGCTTCCTTTCCTTTTATTTGCTATGTTTCTTTATACATTTTCTGAGCAAGACCGAACACAATCCTTTTAAGCTGATCAACAGATAAATTGATTATTAAAATAGTTGTTAGTTGCAGCCCTAATAACACTTTAATCTCTTCCACTGGCCTGACCTCATCAAGATGAGTTTTTTCCCCTCTAAGAAAAGAAAGTGGGACTTGATTCACAGCTGCAGACTCATAAACTGGGACAGGCATTCTCACCGGGCAGCCGACGATGAGGTCGCTGGCCCTGAGGTCCTCGCCTTGCTGCTGGGCATGTCTCAGGATGGAGAGGGCGGAGTCAGAGGCAGGGTTTAGACCTCCCAATTCCTCTAGAGCCTCACAGTACTGCTCCAGTCTTTGAATGGGAGCCTGAAGACAGTGAGGGAAGGACAGAGGGGAAAGGGGGGAGGCTGCAGGAAGTTTGGACTGCAGCAGGGGTGAAGAGAGCAGGGGAGTTGCAGAAAAATGAAATGTTAGGCCTGGTTGTCTCCTAAATGCTTAATGACCAAGATTTCTTTACCACCATGCATTGTACAGACAAGGAAAGAAAGGTGAATTAGACACTTTCAGATATTAAAAAAAAGTAGGGTGTGAGTCCCTTGTCCCTGAGCTTGGTGAAGTATAGAAGTTTAGACAAAACATACGCTCTAGGAACACAAATTCTATAACCATTCCATGACATAAGTATCACTGAAGGAGCCACAGGTCTCAGAAATGTCTAAATAGAAGTGGGCAGAAAGGTTTAAATTTCGAAATGTAAAGTGCAGGTTCAAGTTTTAGAACAATACAAGGAGGGAGTTTCCTTACATTTTCATTAGTTTTACATCACATTATTGTTATTACTAGATAAATTGGTTGAGTCATTTTGGCTTATTGAAGCGGTTATTCTGCTCATGGATGACATTATTGCATTTAAATTTTAAATTTACATTTGATTTACATGGTTGGTTATATATAAAAATCACTGCTAATTCCCTAAGTTGGTAATTTTGTCTGCTTCATTTGTCGCATCAGAGTTAACTGCAGTACAAACGTGTGCAACTATTCACTGATAATTATCACATAGGTTAATTCGATGACAGGAATCAATTTTTTATATATTCTTAATCTATTTTTTGAAAAACATCTCTTTTGAACTGCTACAGTTACCGCTTGAGGATAATTATTGTTTTGGTCATTATAGCTTGAAATTACAAAAAGCTTAATTTTACAATTGTTATTGGTGAAAACAACCCATAGTTCAAACATAACGCTGCAATTTTTCTTTGAGAAATCACATTCTGCTTCTGGGTTTCCTCTGTTCACCAGCCATATATGATGTTCCTGTTTTCATTGTCCTAACAATCATCGCAGCAATAACTGAAGCGATTACCATCATCATTTCATCTAAACGCCAGTTTCTCATCTATCACCATCACAACAACCATGAACCCTCCTGTAGCTATAACCCCAGGACAGGACATGTGCTCACACTGCCTCCTGCTGGCGGCTCCAGAGAAATGCTTCTTGATGTGACACTATAACTTGAATGTAGTCTCAAAGACCTTAAGCACTGTGATCCTTACAGAGTCCTCTAAGTAATCTCATGATGCTGTTGATGCATTAGTTTTAGTTAATTGTCGCTCATGAGCTCAAATTACATTCTTGATAATCTGCCTTTAATTGGCTTTTCTAGTGTACATTAAACATGTAATTAGCTTTACTGTATACAGCTCATTTTTAATTGCAGCCACTATTGAATAGAGAAATTTTAATTGGTTTGGGCTGGTGATGTGCTCTTAAATTATTCATAATGATTTCTAAATAAGAAAATAAGCAAATGCAAATTTTATGACCCTGAATCCTTCTATTATGTGTGAATACATTATAATCAGTGAGAAAACTGGGCACATTTCTTTAAATGAAATTATTTTTATTGAAAGGAGTTGGCAGTGGAACAGCACAGAGACACATTAGGGTAAACTTGTTAAAGTCCTCAGATTGAAACCCTTCTTCTGAGATCCATGTGGGAACAACAAGTTGACATTTTAGAGATTTAAAGGTTTAATAAGGCAGCAGCCACATGTTGAAATCTTACCTTAAAGAAGTCGGCAGCCTGCGTGACCAGTGGACAGTCCAGGTCCGGTTTAGCCCTAATGTAATGAGAATATTGCAGAAACTGCTCCCGCTGTGTGGAAAAAAGAAATATAAACCAGAGAACATATATTTCTTGTATTTTATTTATTCCATCTGTAAATCTGTGCTATGTTATTGACACTTATTTACATGTTTTGCTAATTTTAAATGTGCTCCAATTAGTACCAAATCCTCTGATTCCCAGGAAGTGATTACATTAAATAGTTTTTAAAAGTTCTGTGCCTCAGCCTGTGATGATGGGCTGGAAGTAGACACAGCATTTTTTACAGGTCACAGGCCCACAAGACTCTAAAATACTCTGTGGTCCCAGTAGCCAAATTTTAAGACAAAATAACAAAGTTGTAAAAACTACCAGTCACCCCATAATCCTGAACTTCAGTGGTGGAAAGTAACTAAGTACAATTACTCAAATACTGTATGTAAGTACAATTTTGACATGTCTGTACTTTCTTTGAGTTTTTTTCATTTTCTGCTACTTCATACTTTAACTTCACTATATTTTAGGAGCAAATATTGTACTTTATACTCTACATTTATTTGAAAACTTTAGTTACTAGTTACTTTTTAGAGTCAGATTACCTATGCAAAATGAAAGAATTAAACAGTACTTCAAATTATAAGCATACAGTATAAGGTAAAATAAGCTGCACTTTTACCAGCTGCAGCATTAAATGTGAATACAGTAATGTGTCAGTAATTGTAATCCAATCATTTTATATACTGTATATTCATATGAAATGTGTTATTCTGCATAATGAGCACTTTTACTTTTGGTACTTTAATTATATTCTGATACCAAAACTTTGTATATCTACTTAAGTAACATTTTTAAATGCAGGACTTTAACTTTAACTTGAGTATTTTTAAACTGTTATATTGTTACTTTTACTGAAGTAAAGAATTTGAGTTCTTTTTTCACCACCGCTGAACTTACATATTTACTGAAGCAGTCCTGCTGCAACAAGCTCTGCACAAGAGCACCCTCCATGGCAGGGAGTAGGTTCTGTGAGTGAAAGGTGCTGAGGCCGGCCCAGTTGGGGAAGATGGTGTCTGCTTTCCCCCTGATACAGGCTGGGGTATCTGAGAGCTCCAGTAAGGGGAAGTATGTCTCTTCTACCCCCTTCAGCACAGCAACATACTGCCTCTCTGAGCTCAGCATCCTGCACCAGAGCAGGTACAGCTTACTGTGGGGTGGACGGGCAGAAGGGGAGAAACAAAGTGATAAGGAGAGTAAAATAAAAAGGATGAGTACATCTGCAAAAGAGAAACAAATGTGGGAGTGAGAGAAGTTTGAGCGAAGAGGATGTGGGAGTAAAGATAGCAGTAAGCAGTGAACATAGATCGAAGGGTTAGTAAAGATAAAATTATGATAAGATTGCATGCTAATTGATAAAATCCTTAGAAACGGATAAAAACAGGCTTTAGTTGTGCTTCAAATATTCCAGGAAGGATGGCTCACTTCTCACATAGATAATAAATTATGTTGGTCTTGTTTTGTAGCTCTAAGGCAACTCAGACCTTCTGCATTTCATTTTAAGCATTAAGCATTAACTTTATTGCCAAGTATTATCAAAAATACAAGGAATTTGACTCTAGCCCAATGATCCCCGATGTGCACAGCAATAAAAACTAAATATATACAAGTTAAAAAGCACAAATTAAAAGAGCAAACACAGACTAGCTGTTCAAGAGTGTAAAAGCCTAGGGGAGAAGATGTTTTAACAAAAAGGAGCAAAGAAGCTAAAGTGACATTGAACGCACCTCTGGGCAGTTGAACCAGTCTTGTCTGTGCTTGTTTCCCTCTCAGTCCTCCCCAGTAGCACGTGTTGTCGCGGTGACCCCGTGTGGTCCACCACCTCCTTGCTGCTGACTTCCACTCCTCGAATCAACACCCCTCCACTGCATCCAGGGATTGTTGTAGCCATGCTGGTAGTGATAACTGGGTCAACTAATGCCCGTCGCCCCAGCCAGGACATGGGGGAGTTGCGACTCGCCCCACCCACTGGAGATTCAGCAGTTTTGGTGGTCGCCGTGCCTCTACGGGGAGCCAGAAGAGCCTGGAGGTCAAAGCTCGGGTGGCGCTTTCTGGGTGGCTTAGGAGGGAGCGGGGCCTCTGTGGGCTGAAAGGAAATGGATATTAACATGACAGCAACTAGACTAACCAGATTAAGGTTCTAGAGTACAGCATACTGTACTGTATACTCAAAGCACAGGCTCACATTCTTCTTTGCAGGATTTAGGAGATTCTGCAGGAACTTTCCTCCCCCAGCTCCTCCTGCTCCTCCTCCTCCCTCTTTCTTGTTCCCTTTCTCCTCTCCTATCTTCAGTGTGGAGCAGGTCTGTGGTCTGAACAGCGATGCCAAGGATCCCCATGACTGCAGCCCCCCTTCTCCTCCTCCAGCTCCCAGCCCCCAATCGCCCTCTCCCTCAGGACCCATCAGATCCCACAGGCTGCTGGCTGAAGGCGTCTTGGCCTTCCCCTGGCCCTGGTTCTGGGTCCTGTCAGACTGGAGGAACCGGGGTTTGACCTGTGCCACAGTCCGCTGGTAGCGTTCTACTGTCTGGGTCCAGAGATCCAAGAGCGCCCCGCCACCGAGCTCTATGGCTAAGGACCTAGCATCTTGGAAACGGGATGGGGGGATGGGAGGGAGGGAGGCGAGAGGGCAGGTGGAAGAAGAAGAAGAGGTGGAGGAGGAGGTAGAGGAGACTGCATCACACCATTGGGTGGCCTACTCAGGAGACAAGAAGTAAAAGATGACTTGGCACTTCTGAAGATTTTACACTAATAATGTGTGTTCATAACTTGCTGTGGGCACAAGACATGGCTTCCTGTGTTACTTTACCTCAGTTAGTGTGGACAGCAGCCTCTGTGTGTTATCCAGGGTGGTCCAGCAGTCAGACAAACAGTGGGACATATCTCTCAGCTTCTCCCTCACAGGAGGAAGTCGCATCTGGACGTCACTCAGGCCTGCCCAGTCCAGCTCGCACCAGCCCTCCAAATCACTCAACACTGAAAGAGTCTCACTGTGCAGTTCCTAAAGGATTGAGGAAGATCCACTGTGAGGTCTTTGCCTGGAAATACTCCATATACCTCCATGTACTGTAAAGATGAAGGGAAACTAAACTTCTAGGTTTTTTTAATGTTCCAGAAGTACAATAAGAAAACCTCATTCAAAATTGCGCTGATACCTGGCTAATAATAATAATAATAATGAAGCAACATCATTTCTTTATTATTATTTTTTTATCATTTATATTCTTTTTTTCTATTTTATATATATATATTATTATATATAAAACACCACTCTTAATAAACACCATTTCCCACAAGCCCGAGCCTTTTGTGGTTTGAAATTAACCAGCTTGGCTGTAGCTGTGGCCAGCAACAGCAAAGCAGGGAGGGAGAAACATGATTAATGCTTTTAAGACAGAAAGGTGACATCAGAGTGTACAGTACAACACAGTGTTTGTAAGTATTGTAAGCAAGTTTGTAAAATTTGGATTTACCCCTGGTAAAAATTGGTGCAGTGTATGTGTCTACACATTATTTTTGACACCACCACTGAGTGGCACCAAAGTAAAGAAATTAACACATAGTGGCTTTAATTTTAAAATCTTGCTGAACATGTGAGCCAAGCACTGTATTTTCACTATACTGTATTATTGGGTGTATACAAACAAATATACTGGCATGTATGCAGATAGCTCTGTGTTGTACTGTATCAAAAAACATGAAGAGTCAGGACTGCTCACATTGGCTGTTTCTCTGAAGGTTTTGAACTTCTGCTGTTTGAGTGAAAGTCTGCTGAGGGACAGAGGAGGGTCCCTGTAGTCTTCCAGCTGTGACTGGACTTGCTCAATCTCCTTATCACACTGTGGAATAAAGGGGAGAGAAGGGTGAGAGGAGGACACGACACATTTAATTGCACATATGGGACAAAGAGAGAGATGAGGGACGTGAAACCCAACAGAGGATTGGAAAACTGGATATGAAGTCATCGTGTTACTTTATTTTGAGCTTTTTTAACCGCCATACTGTATTGAATCCTGTAGTATCTATGTTGTTGTGGTGACAAAACAAGGGAGTAGAGAAGAAGCATATTTTAGATAAGACATAGTTCACACAGTCATCACCAACCAATCTGAGTTTCAATCCAGACCCTGCTGGGAGCTGCAGAGGGTGGGTGGATTCAAAGCAGCCAAGCCCATTACTGCATGTGTAGAGTAATCCTGTGCACCAAAAACTTAAGTAGGTGTTAACCTTTACTGTAAATAAAACAGCAACTGAATCAACCAGTGATACCACTGATAACACAGTCTCTAGTTTTCAAAAAACATAGCAAATGAATCAAAAGCCTTTTTTTTATCCACAAAAATGTCTGCCTGAAAATATCCAAGGTTAGGAGCAGAAACAGAATATTTTATTCTACAATGGCAAGTTTATAAATTTGTTTATGAAATCCTGAATTTAGAGAGACATGACTGATCAGTTTTTAATCTAATTAGAATAAAACCACACTCTTCCTTCCTCACATACCTTTTTCAGTTTGTCCACCAGCCCTGCTAGTCGTCCCAGAGCTTCCAGGTTGCGACCTCTCTGATTGGACACCTGAACAAGCTTATGGAGGGCATCATCCACACTGTCATAGAGTTTAGAGGTCGCAGCAAGAGCAGCCCTGAGAGGTCAAAAGTCAAAAATTACCAAGCAATCATTGAAATGCCTGGATGATGTCACACATTTGAACCAGTGGAAAACAAAAAATACTGCAGACCAGCTGTCTGGTAAGAAAAGACTTCAATCAGATCAGCTTATACTTGTATTTGGCCTCATTTTTCAGAATGAGCCCAAACTCATTACTGCAAAGGAAGAACAGCTACAAATACAACAGTCTTTAGATCATCTGTAAGCAATTGTCAGGCACAAACAAACAAGCTGCATTGCCCTCTGTCTCATTTGATCATAAGTTCCTGTTCTCCTCCAGCTTTTTTTTTAGCTAAAACAAACAACTTTGTCTTTTATGATGAGGAATATTTTTAACCTATAACCCATCTTGAAAAAATAATACTTCAATCAAACACCAGACTTGGGAAAGAAAAGAACATGTAAATTCCTTTCCTGGCCCTGGGGACCAAGTTCCTTGTATAAGGTGGGTTCTGCATGTCTTAGCATTTGCCTAATTAAAGGTTTTTGGCTTCTTTTTATCTAAAACAGTAACTTCAATAAGTTTATGTAACAGTATATTGTCTCATTAGCATCATAACAACAAGAAGCCCATTATAATCTCAGTATATTAGATGAACACATTACTACTATAAATAATGTGTTCTAAAGTTAAATTTCTTTCACTTCCTCTAATTTTCAGTGTTATCCTTATTGAAGGATTCTACAGGAAATGCACTTCCCTATTTTCTTAAATTATGGTTACATCTATTTCAGAAACAATAAGCTGCAGATTTTGTAACGTAAGAAGGGGAAAATAAAATGACAGTTATTCTAGTATAGATTCTAGTATAGTATAAAAATGAGGCTTCTGGTACTGTACTTGCAGTCTGGTGACTTCTGTGCCAGTCCAGATGCGCTATTGGTTAGTCCTGCAAGCCACGCCCCACCCCTCTGCTGCAGTTCAGTTAAGCGCTGGTCAGCCAGGACGCTGACCATGAGCTGTCTGTGTTTGTTGATGCTCAGAGGAACACCCTGAAAAAGTACAACATGCTTATTAATGTGGAGTTTTACCACCAATGACAAAACTATATGCAGTGAAATTTGCACTTAGCTTCTGTCTGACAGGCACATAGCAAACTTTCTGTATCACTGTATCAAATTACTGATACACTGATACTGAAAGAGTAAAAAAACACATTACGTTTGCCTTCTGTACCTTGATATTGTCTGGCATTGGCTCTGCATCCATAGACTGCAGTGCTTCTCCAAGCAGTGAAAGGGCACTCTCACAACGCTCTGTCAGATTCTCCAGACTCTAAATGGAAAACAAGAAGTGGGATCAATTACTTTGAGATCAATGTCTTTCTTCTTCCATCAAATTGATAAAAAGCATATATAGTAAATAAAGACGGTATTCGTTATTGTAGAAAACTGCACGACCACGAGAGATGTCAGAGAAAGTTAACAGGAAAATATTTTCATTGCTTTGGATAAAGCTACACAAACTGTCTGGTGAAAAGCCACTGAGAATTGTAAACCTTCCTTCTTTATCCTCCACACCCAGTTTATCAGTTCTATGGCAATATTTTAAACTAGAGGAACAAAAAACTCAGTAGTTACCAGTAATTAATGAGCAAGCTGAACCTGAACCTGCTTGATATGTTGAGTGCCCTTTGTGTTTCCTCCATACTCATTCTGCATTGCTGGCTTTAAATACCAACACAAGAAAATTGTCATCATTGAGAGAAAGCTAAATATTACAACTTTAACTTTTATCAGCCAAAAAACAAAAGACTTTCACACTAAAACTGACCCTGGAATCAATTCCACAGCCAAGAACCTACTGAAAGTGTCTCCTTAACAAAATGTTAAGCTCAAAAAAGGAATGACCTACATAAATGTACTACATATAATTTAAAGAAATTGGAATATAGCGTAGATATCAGTCAGTCTTAATCCCTGAAGTGATCAGTTCTCTATTTCCTTCTAACCACTTCAGCGTACACTCAGGTCAGACAATCTAACTGCCTCGGTTTTATGGCTCTAACATGGTATATAAAAAAAACTATTGTACATTGTATATAAAAATGTAAGTATAAAAATTAAGAAGAAAGCAATAGCAAATCTACTTATTTTATTGAAACAGACATAAAACAGCTGATTCTCACTAGTCTGAAGGCCAGCCAGTCTGAGTGGCAGTGGATGAACTCTCCATCCATCTCCTTGGGAAGCTGTTGCTTGTCTACATATTGTTGAAGGACCCCTGTTCCACGCACTATGTGGATCTAGACAGGGCAGGATAAGAAAAATTAGGGGCAGGAAATAAAACAGTAAGTCAACAGAGGATAGAGAAAGAGAATGTTTAAAAAATATTGCAAAAACATAAGAACTGAGATCTTGTTGAATGCATACACTCCTATCAAAGCAGCTTACTGTTAGTAAATGTCTCAGTTTAATATAGATGTCCCAAAAGTCATCATATTTTGCACAAACTAGAGAATGGACCAAGGCAATGTACTGTATGTGAGGTGTAGAGCCAACAGCTGTTTTTCCCTAATGGTTTATATATCTTTTGTTTGGGATTTCCTTTTAACATGCAAAGGTTTAGCTGTTTTTCCCCAATGGTTTATATATCTTTTGGGTGGGATTTCCTTTTAACATGCAAAGGTTTAATGCTGCCAGGTTCAAAATCAAAACACATGCCAGAGGAAGAAGAATATTCTCATGCGTGTAAGCTCTCTGTTGATCAGTGCAAAGCAAAAATGAGAGTTATTTGAAAACTCTAGATGTGCCAAATGTATGGAAATTGGGCTTATTTAGATTTAACCACAATGTGAATGTAAGCTCCAGCTAAGAGCATCTGACATTGATCAAATTTTAGCAAGGAAGAGAAACAAAGTGTAGTTTATGAAATGTTATTTCCTCTTAAACATTTTGCATTTCATGCATGAGCAGATATCCCTGTTGTCATGACAATGGGCAATAGAGGCTCAGGAACTTTCATTTTGCTAATGTTTTTTAACACATTTTATCATTGTGCCTTTGACATTGGTTTTCATAAGTTCCATGTGGCTGTTCTACCTGTGTTTTAATACTTACATAAATCAAAGAAATAAAACTAACTGGACTAAAAGAAAATGAACAAAACTCCAATGTGTTTTGGTACGTAAGTTGCAAACTTGACATGCGTTCACCTCTGCTCCTCCAAGATTATGAGAAGGGGACTCCTGCTGCTCTTCCACCAAAACCAGAACTGATCCAAGACCGCCAGGAACTAGCACCTGGAACACACGTGCAAAAAAAAAACAAACAAACAATAAACATGCGCAGAAACACATCCTTGAGCTTGTTGATCACATTTGCAGACAAATTAAAGCACATAAGGGAACATTTAGCACATCTGGTTAAATGATGTTTTTTAATTTTCTGTCTCACCTGGAACAATGTAAGTGCAGAGAGGCAGAGAGAGGAGGGTGGAGAGTGTCTACTGTCCATTAACACTGTCAGACCTTTCTCTTTGGCTGCAGGCCTGATGAGGATGAATGGAGAGAGGTGGATGTAGAGTGGTAACCGTGGCAAATGGAAGCTAACAAAAAAAATTTTGTCCTAACATGATATGCTTGACCATTTTCATTACCCATCATTTTGGCATTCTAGAAAATTGACATGAGTGGATCAAAACTCTATAGTCTAATTTAAAGACTAGTAAGTGGGACATCAATCTAAATCTGTAGCTGTGTTTAGGCTTGCTGTGAGAACTCAATGAACGGTGACTGTGCAAGATAGGCCAACAAATTCAGAGATGTTTGCTGAACTGATGCCGAGTCTGTTTGTTATGGGTTTCTCTGTTTTCTGCCACATGCTGTCAAATCAGAAAGTTGAAATAAGGATCATGAAGCATGTTTGGCTATGTTTGTATGTGAACAGTTCAGCAAGAAACTAATGACATAAGCCCAAATATAAACATCAGAGAACAAGTTAATAATAAAAATATAGGTACAGACACAGGTTTTGCTAGGGTGTGAAAGTAGAGCATGAGCAGAGGCAACAGGGATTTTATGGTATGAAAATGGGTAACATGCACTGCAAAGTCTAAAAAATAGGACGAACATAGCCTTACCGAGTGATTCTGTGATAGCAAGCCAGGACCTGAGCCATCTCCTCCTCACAGAAACCCTCCTCTGATGCATCTGTCTCTGTGACAACCAGAGCACGCCCCAGCCTGTCCACTGTACCTGTGGATAATACACATCACAGTAAACATTGAGTTGAGTGAAGAGTTACTAGCCCACCTTTGTATGCTGGACAATAACAAACAACAACAAAGACTACAGCAAAGTCAAACATCTACAAAACTAACTGCAATTAAAAAGGTTTTGTGCTGACTATTTAACAAAAGCAGAATAGGCCTGAAAGAAACTTACCTGTCAGCTTCAGCTTCCCGGACTGGACAAGCTCTGTGTTCAGATCCCTAAGCAATGGAGGATCTTTAGATGTAACACCGCTGAGTTGATCGAGACTCTCTCGTGACCTGGCCTCCTCATTAGAACGGTTAAGTAAGGATGTGCCCGATTGGCCAATGCACACAGGCAAAGATTGGGCTTCTGTCTCTGTTGAAAAATACAAAACTTAGGGAAAATATTTTAGGGGTATTCTGGGACATATTGGATCTGATGTTCATGCAGAAACTTTCAGTTTTCTTCAGACCTGCACTGGTTTCCTTTGTCCCCTCATTTGTTTTGGTTGGCACTCCATGACGGTTGTCAGCCTGTTGTGTTTGCTCTGACTGGTTCTCCTCTGTGATTGGCACCTTTGTTAAAGTAAAACAGGTGGCGGGACTTGGTTGAGGAGCTTTACCCTGCAGTTTAGAGCCTTTCTGGTGTGCACGACCACCAGACCTGGCCCTCCCTTTGGCCCCCTTTCCCTTCCTTTTCCTCCTAAAGACAAAGCACAGGAAAGTCTTAATGAGATACAACAAAAAGTTAATAATTGTGTTGTTTGGAATTAATGTTCTTCAAAATGTGTTTAGGAGGTGTCTTTTGTATCATCCTTCTAAGGCCAAAACGTGTACGTTTGGAGCTTCTGCACAGATGTTGCACCTAAGTGTTACTGATCTGTACTTCTATATGATGAAACAATAAAAGGAATAAGATTAAAGACTGTAGTGTAATATATAAGAAAAAAAATCTGTACCTTGGTGCTCTGAATCCTGCAGTTTTAACTTCCTTTCCTCTGGGACACACTCTGTCCTCTGTCTTTCCTTCCTTGTCCTCTGCCACCTTGGGGTTAGACGGATTCTTCATTTTAGACCCGCTGATAGTAATCTTTCTACTTTCTGCAACTCCAGTGAATGGTCTCTCTGAGACATCTGATGTTGGGGTGGTGGTATCACTGTCTCCACTCAGTGGCTTATCGGTATCCTCAAAAACTGAGTCTGAATGAGATCCGTGATCTGAGTGGTCCTCTATAACATGCCCGACTTTGTGGTTCATCAAGTCCTGGATTTCATTTGTGACCAAACTGTCACCACTCTCTGAATCTTTACTTTGGTGGTTGTCTCTGCATGGCTGTGTAAGACCACGCCTGGCCTCCTTTCTTTGAATGAGTCATCAAAATAAAGTTGACTGCTTTCTAGGTCCTCAGACTCTCTTGTTTTATCTCCTTCATCAGAATCATGGCCAAAGGAAGAGTAAGACCGCCTTCCTCTGCTGGGTTCAGTGACTCCTGGCGGAGGCAGAGGTGGGGGCACATCACTCTTGGGGGTCACAGTGTCCCCTTTGGCACCAAGTACAGTTCGAAAGCTTCCTGACTTTTCCATTCTCCCATATCCCCATGCCTTTCCTTTGCGAAGTTTGATGGCCTTGCCTCTCCTGCAAAGAGGCAAAGTCTTGGTCTTACAGATTCCATGCATCTCCAGGTACCTCTGCCTTGGGTCAACCCCTCCATCAGGACCTCCTCTGGGCTCCAGCAGCTCCACATAGTCCCCGTCAAGTTGAGGGTGCCTTCCTGACCGCCCAAGCCCATCCTCACTCCGCCTTCGCCTGGAGATTGCAGACTCAGAGTCCAAGCCATCTGGTGGTATATTGTCATCTTCTTCCTCATCCCAGGACCAAGAGTCCAGTTCCCCAGAGGATGAGCCACCCCAGCCCCCAAGGCTGCTGCCACCCTCACTGGGAAGGCGGTTGGAGCCCTTGTGGTTTGACATCAGGCCCAGTTCCTCAGAAGGGTCATGGATGAATTTTGGATAGACAACTTCCTTCCATGGAAGTCGAACCACACCATCAGATGTACTGACCAGGCATGTGTCAAGTCCTCCTCCAACTTGTAACAATGAGACAGAACAAAGTTTATGTCAACTTCATGCGCTTACTGAGAGTATGCATTGGGCAAAAAGGCCCTTCAACTAAAAAAAAAATGGAAACACCAAAATGAGATGCCTGGAAAATAAATGGTTCAGCTTCTACAGCTTTCTTAGGTTTTGTTGCTCAGTTATTCTCACCACCCAGCTGACAGTTATATATCTGTCCCTTCTCATGTAGGCCTTCCACATGCTTCTCTTGGCCATAAATGTGCCTCTTGTGTTTCATGTCACCCGTTCTCCCTGAAGTCTTTTTTGCAGTCATTACTTATTGGCAAAGCAACAGTGTTAAGAATTTTCACCTAAAAAACTGATTATGAAGAAAGAAGAAGAAAGAACTTTCTTCCTGACAGTTAACAAAAAGGATGATCAGAAATGTTTTACTTGGTTGACTACAAATAATCACCCATGGATTCTCACATTTTTCAAAGAAGAAAAGTGTTAACCGAAGTACAGGACATCCTTTCCTTACCTTCTCTCTTGTGGCCTCGTTCCTTGTTGACACTGTGCAGCCACTCGGTGGTGAACACGAGGGGGTGCTGTGACTCAGGTACCAAGATTTCCTGAACGGTACGCCCCCCAGGGGCCAGACATTTTAGGGCCAGCCTGGGGCAGCGTGTAGAGAAGGGCACCACCTGCAGGTAGAAGTCATTACTTCGGAGGAGCCTCCAGTCTAAGGTGGATAGTTGGACGACTACCTTCTCGCCAAGACAGAGTGGCCAGCCAGAGTGAAGGAACAAGCAGCCCAAGTACTGAGACTGTGATAACAAGAAAAAGAAGAAAGGGAGAGGCAGAGGTTATGTTAAATGTGTACATTTAAAAATGAAACCTTTATCTGTGCAAAATTAAATTGTGTGCACAAAGTCTTCTTTCAGTACCTCTTTTCTTTTCTGTATCTGTGTAGTGCATGCTCTGCCCAATTACATGCAGTAGTGAGAAGACTAGATCATTGCAGAAGAGGTATGTATGACATATGACCAACTGTCCATCACTGTTTCATAAGTGGAAAACATATTCTAGAGATAAACTCAATTGAACAACATAGGTATAAATATAGAAATTCCCACAATGTTTAAGCAGCATTCATTTGGTAACCCTGTGAATTTAGGTCAAGGACTGAAGGACCCTATTGGAATTCTATACCCCATTAATCAACTGATCTCTTTAGGAAAAACAATCGAATTGAAACACTAATCCAAATTTAATCAATGCCGTGTCAAATCTATATCCGCTTTCTCATAGCCTGAGGTATAAATCTCATCCAGAATCGCTCTCTGCTGTTGCCAGTCACGTCTAATTGATTGCTCCCTCCACGCTTTGTACCCTCTGGACTCATGAGACATGATCAAATTATATTCCTTATTGACCTCTTCTCCATCTTCTCTTTCCTAATTCTCTATCTTTTATATTCTTCCCTTTCAGCCTCCCCTGTCTCTTTTCCTACTTGTGGCAACGTTTCAGTCAAGAAAATCTCATATCAGTTAGGGCAGGTAGTAAGCATTAAAATATCTGACTGTTCCTCTTTTAAAAGTTTGTCTGTTACATTCTTTAACCTTGTATTCTCTGGCCCTCCTCCCTCTGCCTACTTCTTCCTCAATGTACCCCAGTGTTTGCTCCTTCTTCACCACCTCCCATTTCTGAAAAATTCCTCAATCAGTATACTATATTCTGCAAATTCTAGCATCTTCTCTTTTTTCAGACACATGCGCATGCATGCAGGCACAGTGAATGAAAGCCGTGTCCATTCTCTCCTTCGACTCCCACTGCTCCTCTGTTACTCACTCTCTCTTTCTCTCACAGCAGTAACACAGTCACATATGGAAGGAATTATTGCCATGACTCACAGACTAACTCCCGTCCCAGGCAGCTCCACTCAGCAACAGTGAAAACAGAGCTTGCTCGCAATGCCAGTGCATGTGTGTGTGAGTCTAGGAAAAGTGTATATAGGGTAATATGAGAAAGTTCTTACCATCCAAGTTTCTGCTAAACAGTGTGCATTTTTTATCTTTGTCTGTGTGACTCGTCAAGTAAAATACAAGGAATGGTGGGCCATAAAAACCACATGGCTTTGAGTTAAGCGCACACTGCACCTCATTTGTTTGTCTTGTTTTGTGTGTATGAGACAAAGTGTGAGAGTGATTTGAGGACAATGGAAGTTGCACAGTGTTTACATGGTCTATCCTATGTCATACTATAATCCCATTTTTGTTCATGTCTATGGGACACAGACAGTTACAACAATGACTGTTTTATTTAACCTTTTTTTACTCTCTTTATTTTGTCTCTGTCTATTTAGCATATAGTTTCCAAGGCAGGAAACCATCTCAAAAACAAGCGTAAAGCCTTATGAACATCTGTGACTTGAATTGAATTGGTTCTTTAGGACTTGGGGCTTGACTTGAGGCATGTCTCAATTAGACATGCTCTAATTGATGTCTGAAGAAGTGAGGCCTGTTGGAGACTTGTGACTTGGACTTACCCTTCTAGACATGATAGTTTATTTGCCTTAATAGGCCTAAAAGTAAGTAAAGTCTAATGAAAACTTGTGACTTGAATTGAACTTGTTCTTGAATTGCTTGACCTAAGACATGGCTTTAGACTTGGTTCAACAAAAATTGAGATGTAATATGCAGAAAATGTAAAAACCTAGACTTGTGACCTCACTTTTTTTTAAATAAATCAGATTTTTCACACTGGATAATAGAGGCTTTTGGTCTGATTAAAAAGCTATGTGTGTGCTCTTGTCTGCAGTGTGTTTGCCGTTTGGGACTCACGCAGGCATGCTGCTGGAGTTTATGCAGGAGGTGCTTGGCAGGAACAAAGTAGTCTAGGAGGTAGCGAAGACTGTCATGTTGATAGGTTGACTCCAAGACTGAAAAGACCTGAATAAATATGCAGAAAGGGACAAAATCATGAGTAAATACCACTAGATACAGTGAAAACAAAATGCTGTCAACTTAACATGTCAATTCCACATGGTTTTAAGAACTTCAAAATATAAAGGCAGCCTTTGTTTCAGCTAGACCTCCATGCATTTCTTAGTGTATATAATGGATTTCGAAAGGTTTCCGTTGCCCAAAAGGAAGAATCTCCTGAACTCAGCCTATAATCAGAATTTAAAACAAGAAAATGACCATTGATGTCTTATTTTATCTACATTGTTTTATGAAGTATCCTTTTTCATAGTAACAAAGAAGTTAGATAGGAAGTTACATGTAAACTTGGAACAAGCCATTTATCACATTCTTATAATTGCTAACTGAGAATGGCCCAGAAGCCTCAAAGGCCACTTAGTCCACTGGCTTTTGGGGAACTAATGCTACTGTGAAAGTACTAAAACCAAATGTGACTTTGAAAGCTACAATGGAGATATTAGAGCCTACCAAGAGTTCACACAATGCACCTGTAGGAGACTGAGCCATTTAGCCCAATCGGCTGCTCTTTCATATGGGTTTGAGGAAGCAAATTTAGCTATAACTGATGAGCAAGCTACTGTAGATTTAGTTTGAGTTGGCTTCTAGAAGTAGTTTATATATGGGGATGGCCACGTTATCTGCACATAGCATTGCCTTCCCCACCGACTCCAACAGTGCTTTATCATTTAAACTACTCTGAATTATTTATATCCTGTTTATTGCTATAAGATACATAGTGGAGAGAAGGCGCTTGTAAAGTCTACCTGAGAAAGGAGGGGAGGTGCTGTGCTCTCAAAAGGAGGATAAAGTGATGAGAGTGCCCCCTGCACACAATCCTCCATTGCCTCTGAACCCTGAGAGAGACAACAAGGGTAAGAGAGGGTTAATCCATAAGCGGACACTGAATGAACTCTAATGTGTTTGTGTTTAACAGCAGGCTTGTCTTACTTTCTGCTGAAACACACACACACACACACACGCACACACAAATATACACCCATACCCTACTTTCAACTTCCTGTTATATGGTCTGGGGAGTGTCAAACATTTCCTCCAAGGCTGAGTTAATGCAAGAACCCCAAGAACAAAAGAGTGCAGAAACTAGTGCAGCTCCTCAACACACACACACACACACACACCCGCATGCTATATATGCATGCACAGCTGCATGCACATTCACACACACTCAACACTGGGCCAGCCAATGAGGTGGAGGGTGACAGAGCAGAGCACACAACACATACAGTGTTTATTTTTCTACATGGTCTGTTGGCATGGCAACATGTGACATTTTTCTCTTATTTTTCCAACTTCTCTCTTTCTCTCTCCCTCCCTCCACATTTCCTCTCCAACCACCCATCTGCTTCTCTCCCTCTTTTTCTCAGTTTCTCTCTTTTTTTCCCCCCCCCATCTCTTTTTTCCTCATCTCCAATGTTTTTTAAATCCAACTTTCTTTGTTTCACCCCTGTCTGACTCTCTGGATGTCATCTGACAACAATTACATTAGGAGTTTCTTCAACAGACAGCATATTATGCTGAATAACTACAAGAATGAAGGGGGTGGGTAGAAAGCCATGGGAGAAAACCCAGAGCGGGACAACAGAGTGTATGGAAAAAGAGAAGAGCTAGCGAGAGCATGAGCCAGGAGGGAATGAGCTGGTGGTGCAGGGGTTTTTATGGAAGAAGACCTAGGTTCAACAGTATGTGAAAATTATTTCTTGGGTTTGTTTTTGTATACAGAAGGGGCTTTGGGTTAGCCACAGAGGAGGATAGAATGGGTATTAAAAACAAGAAAGTATTTGAGATGAACTTTAGTTTTTCTGTGACAGCTTGTGCAACATTGTTTCAGCTAAGGCTGAAACAAATGTCGGGACTTATTTGTAATTGTTTTTGACCAAAATCTGGACAAGATAATGAGAAAAATGGAAATTTAGGCACAGGAAAATATCAAGCAGTTGTATGGGAGGAGAAAGTTTTAAGACTTGTAAACAAAGCAGAACACTTAATAAACCATCATCAATGCAACTCCAAGAGACTTGGGTCACTCACAGGAAATGTTAGGTTCTGCTTCCTATCCAGTCACTTGGCTGCAAAGCAAATTTTTCATCTATGACTTCAGCCCTTATGGCACCAACAGCAAAGTGGCATCACACTCAAATGCGTACAGCTTTATTTTTCCTAGTAACAGAATCTTGGATGGTAACTACAGGGTAACTTGGGGAAAAAAACAAGTGATTAAACTTAGTGTTGCTGAACACAGCTCAGTTTTCCAGGTACAGAGCAGCTCAAAGGTCATGTTAGTCTGAAATTGTGAAATTGCCAAGAGACCACACATAAAGACTACACATGAAATGATGCTCTTCAAAGATATAAGGGTTCATTCAGTTATTTATCTTAAAACTTTTAACTTAACTTTTTGCAGAGGCATAAGTTGAAACATAGCTTCTTTCTGAAATTTTTAATTTATCTCACTACAATGAAAGATATGTTCTTATTTTCAGAAACACAACTTTAGTAAGGATTTAAAGACAAGCAGTAGATTAAGTAACTGTTTATGGTAGATATTTTTATGATGATTAAACTGATGACCATTACAGGCTGAAAATGTGAATAGGAATATATCATTGCTTGGTTTATAGTAAACAATAGTTAGAAAGCAT